TCGTTGAATGGGTTCATCTCATGTTTCTTAAAAAAACCTGAAAGGTTAGCACCGAAAATCCTACGGAAAACAAAAAGAAAAACTAACTAAAAAAAAATCTCGCTGAAATTAATTAACCCTTAAAACCGACACCGTCCCCGGCAACGACGCCAAAAACTGATGTGAGTTTTCTCGCACTTAAAAAGATTGTAGAATAGTGGAGAAAGTACGAGTTTCGTCTCCACAGGGACGGACAAAAGTGAATTAAAGATTAACTAAATTCAGCGATTAAAAAGAAATAAAATAAAATAAATGCGTCGTGCCAGATTGGTTGGTTGAATTAAAATTAAACTAATGCGAATGAACGATTAAAATAAAAGATTGGGTTCTCTCTAATTAACGACGAAGGGAGCAGGGATTGATTCCGGGGTAATCAGATTTCTGGCAGATCAGGCCTAATTACATGAAATTAATTTAATTGAGCCTAGCTAATCAATACTAAGTTCTTACCGCTCTCGCGGCGTAGAGTACAATAATTTAGGGGACCAGGCAGATCTCTCATGCGACAAGATTCTAAATTATTGCCAAAACGAGCGAGCTTACGGCCCCTTAATCGCTACTAATCTCTTAGCCAACGATTAAGTGTGTGTGAATGTGTCCTAGAATAAATTAGATCTCTCTTAATTTATTCTATGTGCAATTGTAATTCTAGCCGCGGTTCCAGGTTACAAAAGATATCAGTTAAATTATTCAAACACAAATTTAACGGCATTCATGCAATTAAATCGAAAAGAATCTAGCCATCAATCATGATTAACCCCTTCATCAATCACAAATCCCTAATTAAACTACTCACAATTCATAATTGAAGAATCAACAGAATTGGGAAGAATAGAATAAATTGTCATTAATTAAAAAGATGAAGTTACAAATAATCCCAGGGTCTTGGAAGAAAATAGCGTGTTAAATTCGTCCCTAGGCCTCTCCGTAATGTTCGTCCCCCTTAAAAAGGGTTAGGGAGGCCTTATTTATAGAAAAGAGGGGAAAAACCGCAATTCTAGTTGATGTGGGAAATTTCCGCGCGTAACTCGGGGCTACGCACGATCGTGCGTAGCAGGCAGTAGCTCCTCCACGGTTTTGGCTCTTGCGCACGATCGTGCGTCCCAGACGCACGGTCGTGCGTCCCAGACGCACGGTCGTGCGTCCGTGTTCTTCATCCGGTTATCTATTCCGAATTTGACGAAACTTCCTTCCTGAAAGTTGTATATAATGAAGTCCCCTATCCACCCCAACTTGCCGAATGTGATTTGAATCATCCAATCAAGAGATATGATCAAAATGGTGGAAAGTGTCATTCTGAAATCGCAGCAGATATCATCTGACTTTGTCATCTGTTTTCACCTTCTTGCTCTCCTATTCTCGTAATGGTGTCTTCATATGATTTGTATCCCTTGAAGTTGTATTTCATATAAAACTTGAATCATGTCCATTAGTTGTTTCTACAAAGAGATATTCTTGAACGATTCACAGAAGGTTATCCTGATCGTCGTTTTCAAGCTTCATTCATCTTCTTTTGATCCCGAAGCCAATCCTAGAGCTCTTTTGTCATCAAATCTTCATCGTAAACCTCCCGCTGACCTCCATAGATCTCAAATCAATCTCAAATGCTTCTCAACTCATCCCGATTTCTCCTCAAGCGCCAGTGCCGAACTCTAAAATCCCGATTTTGACTCCAAATGACACAAAACTCGAACCAACGCTCGGTAAACATAACTTGAGCTAAAATTGAGACTTGTAACACCTTAAAGCTATGGAAAACCATCAAATCCGATCTCAACACGCCTCAAATGCATGTCTAAATACGAACTTATCAGAGGTCTGGGGCTGTTCCTTGTTCATGTTGTGGCGGTACCGGGATTGGACTTCCTGGGAGGCCGTATCTTGGGCCACGACTCCCTCGACGTTCCCAATCCGAAGGACAGGGTTCCCGAGGGGGTGTGGATGAGGGGGAGGCATGATGTTTTCCCCAACCTGAGGTTGAAGGGGAACCAAAGTGCCGAAGGAACCCGGGTTCTGAGTGAGCGTTTGGATGAAGGCGGAAAACGCCGACTGTACGTCGATGGTGATGACCGGGGGGCTAACTTGGTTTTCGCTTCGGTCCTTCTTTTTGGCCTCGATGCCGAGGCGGGCATCAGGGGCATTTTGTTGAATCTGAAGGAGTAGGTCGACAGCCGTCTGATCCAACCCGGCGATGACGCCGCCCCCGGGAGCCCTGTTAGAGGCCTCGGGGACGTCGACTTCGCCGAGGGCCAGGTTCCTGTCCTCAACGTTCTTGGAGTTGGCACGAGTTGTTCTCACCATTTTCGCTAGGTGTTTTGTGTTTGGCGAGGGGGAGAGTTTCTTACTTGATTATTCGAGCTCTCAACGAGAGCACCAAATGATGGATAGTCTACCTGGGGGTATGTATCCGAAGGGTTACTGTGGGGAGTAACTAGAGAGAAGTCAGAGCAAGCAAGAGAGAGAAAGTGTATTGAATATATGAGTGAAAAGTGTATTCCGAATCTGGTTTACAAAGGGGAAATGGGGTGCTATTTATAGTAGCAATAAATGCGAGAAGGGGACACGTGTCATGCATCCAACGGCCGAAGGGTCACATCAACCGGGTGTCAGTGGCATTCGCATGTGGCCGCATTTAATGCGGCGGTTTGATGTGACGTTGTACTTGGTACGGCGACTCAGGCGCATGTGGAGAGAATATTCTTGTCGGGGAAGGTACCCTCGGCTGTAGGTGATTAGCCGAGGGCTGTTCCTGTCGAAGGCCCCTTAAGGCCGAGGGCTCCAATCGCCGAGGGCTACTGTTTTCCGCTGTTTTTCTCCCAGTAACTTTGTATGCTGAAAATAGCCTTTCTGTGAGTATCAGGAGCCTTCGGCCAAGGGGCCGAAGGCACCCCCAGTGTGTATTGTTGGCTGCTTGGTACTCGGGGCGCTGTGATTTGGGCCTGTTGTGCTTCCTGGGCCTATTGGGCCTTGGTTTAGAGTAGGAGTCTATGGGCCGGGGGTCCCTGGGCCATATACTCCATCAATACTATCATCAATGTTTATATATACTTTCGCTTTAATATATTTAAAACAAAAAAATAACAAAAAAACTTAACGTACACCGTTAGCACTCACGCTATGTTTTGCAAGCATAAGATCATGTCTTCTAGCTTTTGTATTGTTCAAAAAGTCGTTAAAATCTTCTAGTTATATGTTTGGCATGACAATTTTTAAGAGCTTTTCAAAAATTAAAAGATCTTTTTTTAGATGCTACAGATAGTAGCATCTGAAAAAAGCTTATGACTTTTAGTATTAATTAGTCCTAACAGTTTGTATGCCAAACCGAACTAAATCAAACACAACTTTTTACCAAACAGCTACTACATTTTCTTTTTAAGATTTTTTGAGTCACTAAAAGCTAATAGTTTTTAAAAAGCTCACAAAAGTATCTTTTCAGCTAGTTGTGCCAAACATACCCTCAGTTTATTTTAGTAAAACAGTTAACCGGTTCTGATTATTGTTGTGAACTTTCCGAGTATGGATTATTTTTGTAAAATGTGTAAAAGTAGAGATTATTGGTGTCAATTCTGCGATCATTTTTTTACCAAATTTGATTCTGGATTTTGCGAATTTATAAAGCTTTTAATGTAGTTTCCGAATTTATAAAGCTTTATCGTTGGTCAAACTTCGTAAACCGTAAAATATCTTACAAAGTGGGATGGAGGTAATATTTTTGACTTGATTGCTAAATGATGTCATTTTTATGAAGATATGATGGCGTATAAAGATGTCATTTTTAATATGATGACGTTTATTTTAAATCTAAAATTTCTATATTTTCATCAACTAAAAATATCACGTTTTCAATAATACTTCCTCCGTCTCTTTTTAGTTGCAACAGTCAACATTTCACGTTTGCCAACGCACAACTTTGACCATCATTATTTTTATTTCTATATTAGTAAAAATAAAATAAAAATCAGATTATAAAACTTAGTAATGAGACGAATTTAACAATATTTTTCAACAAAAAATAATTCACATACATTAATAAATAAAATGTAGTCAAAGTAGAGTACATGAATAGTGTATATATTCCAATGTTGCAATTAATGTGATACGGAGGATAGTATGTCATTATTCTTATCAAGATGACATTCTCGGGGAAGGTCTTCAGTGACTTGTGGGATAGCGGCATCGACAGACTTGCTGGAGTGTGGATGAGGCTTAGTCCATACGATGAGGTTTAGTCGTTACAGGCATGGCATCGTCAAACTGTTGAAATAGTCATCTAGGAGTTTGGGAAACTTATTATTGTTTCATTATGGATAATTTTGTCACGTTAGTGTATTTTTAATCCTATAAAATACAGGCAAAGCTCCCGAAATAGGACTAAAACAGTTTGAAAATTCCAAAATAGGTATGTCATGTTTTTTATTTCCAAAATAAAAGTAATTACTGTCAAGTTTAGAAAATACTGCATGTTTGAAGTCCGGTACTGCCAAAATATGGCAGTAATTAATCCTATTTTGGGAATAAAAACATGGTAGTCATATATTGGAATTTTCAAACTGTTTTAGTCCTATTTTGGGTAATATTCTCTAAAATATATAATTCCTATTTGTGAACTTGTAAATTGTTTTAGTCCTATTTTGAAAATTCTCTCTAGTTTATTTCATTTTTAATTTATTTTTAAATGTTTTTGGATCCAAAAACTAGTTCATCCAAATGTTAATATCTTTACATGGAAAGGTGGCTATTTAAATTTTATAGTTATGCAAAAAAACAAATCAAAGAAAAATATTGCTTGCTATAATTTAGTAATGGTTTAATAACCCGATACTTAATTTAGTGGTAGAATGCTAAGAATAACTGTATTGACCGAGTCAATTCATTATTTCTATTATTTTCTAGTGATATAAGAAAGTACCTTATGGTCTGATGTCATCACCGTGACACTCACAAAGAGAAGCAAACACGTTCGAATCGCATCTCAGTTCAAAGATGCTGGTCTTAACATAAAACAAATACTATAATAGGTTAAGAAGTTTTACAAAAAAATTGACATAATTGATATCTTAATCGATGGTGCAAGGATGCATACAATCTTATAGAGAAAGACGGGAACTAGCAAAATCATCCCGATTGATGTTCTAGAATATCTCACCTTGGGGATAATTTTCTTAGCGAGTCAAAATTCATGAAAATAACTCCGAGTTTATTATGCAGGTACCCAACAAGCAATGGCGCATATAATACGACCTTTCCACCCTTGCAGTATCCAATGACCGTCTTCATCCAACACAAATTCTTTGTGATATCCCTCCTTCACCTTACCTCTTAACTTCTTCAAAAGCCCACTCTTCATGGGCATGGGCTTGAACCCGACCTTTATATTGCGTGATTGCCATTGCTTGTATGTTTGAGGTCTTTCAAACCTTTCAACACCCTCACATGCAATGATATTCATTATCTCGGGTGCTAAGACTTCTTGTTCGAAACAAAACCTATCATCATCACAGGGTAAAGTGGAATCATACAAATCATAGATAGTAGAGTAAAATGACAGAGCCTCTCGGAATCTAGTAAGAAAGAAAGGGCAGCCATGAGATCCACTGAGCACAGATTGAACAAAAATCTGTGGAGTTACTTCCCGGATTAGGTTAAGAAATGCAACCCGCGGGTTGTCCAACCCAACTGTCTCATCCATTAGGGATTTCCACCGATACGCACAATTAACAGCAACCACCTCACCCCTCACAAGCTTCAAATCATCAATCTTAATTTTCTCCCAATTCTTCGATGTTATGGCATTGTACTCGAACGGCACACCAAAATGCTCGCAGTATTTCGCCAAGCGGCAACCTGTCTCTTCTACCAACTGCTCTGGACGAAAACCAGGTTGGGGAAGCTCAACTCCGGTTATTCGAAGTTTAGGTGGGCCACCCGGTCTTCGTGAAAGATCGCGGATAAGAGTGGGCCACTGGAGACCAAAAGAAATGCCAAAGTCTATGACATGCAATGATGTACCTTTTGACGCTATTTCACAAATCATTGTATTCCAAACGAAATATGATATTCTCATGACTGGCCAAGATATGAAGTGAGATCTCAACAGACCACAAGAAGTCATTTTGAATGAACCAAACGGTATAGAAAGTTGTGGGCCAGTTCCATTAAGCCGTGCCTCAAAGGCATTAGCAAATGCATGTGCCATCCTTTGAACCGCATCGCCAGCAAGCGAAGAGTGTTGTCTGATCTTCTTCAATTGTTCTTTTGCAGCCGTATTATCAAAACAAGCAATTGATTGTGCACAGTTGTTTAAAAGAGCCCCTAGATCTATGACTTCAGAAGTAGGACTCTGTTTCTTAGAATGGCTCTCCCTTTCCCCCTTCTGTTTCATGATGCCCCTGCCACCAACTATGACATTATCAGTACAGATCAAAACCTTATCAAACATCTCTGATAACTCAACCTCCACATTATAAACTGCAGAGTACTTGCTGTTCCTTTCTTCATCATCATCTTCTTCTTCTAATCCACATTCACGCGGATGGTTGTGCTTATATCTTCTGGAGGAATACGTGTTAAGGCTATCTGATTTAGTTCGGCTTGATGACTTGAAAGATAAGTCTGGAGGACCACTGTCCAGATATGATTTGGATTCTTCCGGACCAACAATCTGGTATGTGTTAAAACTACCAATGGTGCTTTCAGTTGTAGTATCAGCACCATTGTTATGAAATAGAGGTTTTTGAGAAGGCAATGAAGGGCTCTCATGCAGCGCTTCATAAAAGGAATTCTCAGCAGCTCTAAGAGCAACAGGATCATAGAACATGCTGTGACTGTTCTCATCAATGTCCTCCTCCAATAGTATCTGGTTAATGTACTTGATCACAGGATCAGAGGCAGGTGAAGGGGCTTCCATGACATCGAGAGGTAAAGAAAAATTGATCTTGTTCTCGAACTCGAATCTGCTCACAGATTCACAAGGCCTACTCTACTGATGATCCATAACCTCCTATGAGACAAACCTACATTCACATACATATGGAAGACGAGTAAACAACATGACGAACCGATAGACTTAATAAGATTCTGCAGAGAAAAAGCGGTATTTAAATTTTGCATAAATAAATTATCATGACAAAAACAATGAGACGTGCATTTCATATGGATATACACTCATGGGCTCGGTTTAACACCACACAGGCACAGATGGATCCAAGAAGGAGCTGGCAGAAATGGCTAGATGCTCTGATCAAGTTTGATTAGTTAAGTGGTTTCTAACTATTAAAATGATTAGTCTATTATTATTGTAGTTATAGTTTGGAGATCTGTTACCCTTTAGCTTTGGGTTCTTGTTGACTATGTAAAGCCGATCAGTTGGAATAAAAAGATGATCTTTGTGGAAACTAATAGATCTATCCGTCCGTGGACTATATCCTGCTTCCTCATTCTTTAACAGCATTCCACAAACATAACCAAGATAACAATTCATGAACCTCACACCCGATAAAGAAGCTTAACCCGCGCAAGCTCAGGCACCGAAAAGGAAACAGGGAAAGTAATTGGGCATGAAATTTAGTTATTCAAACTCATAAGTCAAACTGATGATTTAGTTATTCAAACAATTAATACACTAATAATAATTCCAGTACCACAACAGATTAATAATAGCTCCAATACAAACTGATCATATATACTAACTTCTTAACTTCGAATTAGGAATTTTAAAACAACAAAAAACATTGAACAAACCAATTGAAACAATGAGTGACCGAAGGGGAAAAAACTCAAATGTACAATAAGTTGAATACCACATTGATGCAGAAACTTGTGAGCCCGTTCGCATCTTCATTAGGGTTTTCAGAAGTTTTTGTGCGCACGTAGGGAATAGATTATTCATGAAGATCGTGGATTGGTGAGATAGGAGAAAAACAGAGACAGCTCTTCAATTGAACCTGGAACGAATTTTACTCGATTGAACCTTTAGTAGTCATTTCCTTTTTAGGAAGTACCGTAGTACTTACTCTTTATAAAGTCATATATCTGGCCATTTGGTCTTTGAATTTGAACGTACTCCGTCCGCGATACCCGGGATATGAAAGTATTTTCATTATTTTACGGGAAATTACCCAAAATAGGAGCAAATGACATTTGGAATTCCACAAATAGGATTAGTATGCTTTTCTTCTCGAAATATGAGTTATTATTGTAATGTATGAAAAATACTGACATGATTGAAAAATACTGTCATTAATTATAATAAATACTGTCATGTTAAATGTACTGTACTGCAACTATTTGGCAGTCACGGCTACAAGATGACAGTAAATATTGTCATGTTAGTCCCATTTCGGAAATAAAACAAAGTAGTCATATTTTGGAATTTCAAACTTCATTTACTCCTATTTTGGGAAATCTCCCTTATATTATTTATTTATTTATTTATTTATGATAGTTTTCCCTTTCATTATTTCATTATTTTATTTATTTATTTATTTATAAAATTCAAAAAATAAAAAGCATGGAAATGCAATAATATATTAATTACAAGGGAAAATTATCAATTTGATTCTTGTATTATCACGAAATATCAATTAACACCTCATAATTTCAAATAAATCAGCAAATCTTCGAATTTTGAAAAAAGTTCAATGGAGTCAATCAGCACTGATGGAGTATATGGCCCGGGAACCCCCGGCCCACAGACTCCTACTACTCCATCGAAGGCCCAACAGGCCTAACAGGCCCAAATCACAGCGCCCAGAGTACCAAGCAGCCCGCACTACGTGCCAGGGGTGCCTCCGGCCCCCTAGCCGAAGGGTCTAAAACTCTCACAGAACGGGTTTCTCAAGCAAACTAAGAAACTGGGAGAAAATGGCGAAAACAGTAGCCCTCGGTACTGTGAGCCCTCGGCGCCAAGATGCCCTCGGTTGGGGGAGCCTTCGGCTACTGCTCTATGACCGAAGGCATCTCACTCGACAAGATATCCGCCTCACATGCGTACAGATCACCGTACTCTGCACAGACGTCCCATCCAACAGCCGCATTAAATGCGGCCACATGCGGCTGCCAGCGCCAACCAGTTGAGGCGACCCCTCGGCCAATAAGCGCTTGACACGTGTCCCTGCCCGGCATTTATTGCTACTATAAATAGCCCCCCTTTTTCCCCATTTGTAACCAAGTCGGAACACGCTGAAAACACTCCACATTTATAATACTCTCTCTCTCTACGTTTACCTGCTTTGACTTCTCTCTAAATTATTCCCCGTAATAACCCTTCGGATATATACCCCCGGGCAGACTATCCATCATTTGGTGCTCTCGTTGAGAGGTTGAACAATCAAGTAAGAAACCCTCCCCCTCGACCAAACACAAACACTAGCCCTCTATCAAAATGGTGAGGACAACACGTGCCAACTCAAAGAACGTAGAAGACAAGAACCTGCCCCTCGGCGACGTCAACGCCCCCGAAGCCTCTCACAGGGCTCCCGAGGGCGGTGTCCTCGCTGGGCTGGAACAGGCGGCTGTCGACCTACGCCTTCAGATCCAACAAAACGCCCCCGATGCCCGCCTCGGCATCGAGGCCAAGAAGAAAAACCGGAGCGATGACCAAGTCAGCCCTCCGGTTCTCACCATCGACGTACAATCGGCGCTCTCCGCCTTCATCCAAACGCTCACCCAGAACCCGGGTGCCTTCGGCACCCTGGCTCCAGCTCACCCTCAGATCGGGGAAAATATCATACTTCCCCCTCTGCCACACCCCTTCGGAAATCCCACCCCTCGGGTGAGAAACGACGAAGGGGTGGTGGCCCAAGATACATCCTCCCAGGAAGTTCAGTCCCGGGACCGCCATAATGACAACAGGGAGAGGCCCCGTACTTCCGCTCTCAACCGGCTCGGAGGAGGGCCAGACCGCCGAGGGGTCCAAGACCGCCTCGGGGGGAAAGCACTCCAAAGGCCCCAGGAAAGCGGGGGATCTGTTTCGAGGGCAGACGAGGAGCGTCCCCCTCGGGACAAAGGCAAGGCACCCCTTCATACCGATGATGCCCGGCACCAAATCAACCAGGCCCACTCGGCCCGAGTTCGTTCGCAGGGGGCGGAGACCCTCCCGAGGGATCCCCGGGACGAGATTATTGCGGCCCTCCAACGCCGGCTCGACGAGATGGAGTCCAACAAAGCTCACGCCACCACCTCCACCCCTCACTCAGACCTCAAATACGAGGCCATGATGGCCAAAATGGAGGAATTACAGAAGAAGGTGGCCGAGGGCTCCGGGGAACCCGTCATTCAGCTCCGGACTCGGACGCCATTTACCCCAAGGGTATTGGCGGCCCGGATCCCGGAAAAATACCGAGGGCAACACATACAGCCCTACAGCGGGAAAACGGACCCCCAGGAACATTATAGCAAATACCAAAACAGCATGATGATGGTGGGGGCGTCAGACGAGTATTTGTGTCGTTGGTTCCTCTCCACCTTAGAGGGGCCGGCGTACGAATGGTTCAACAGGCTGCCCGAGGGCTGCATTGATTCGTGGCAAGAACTCGCCCAGCGATTCTTGACACAATTTGCCGGGAGACGTCGCACAAGGAAGCACTTCTCCCACCTCCTAACAATACGCCAAAAGAAGGACGAGACCCTTCGGGATTTCCTAGAACGCTGGAGGACGGAGGCCGACAAGGTCGACGGTGCTGATGACGGGACCCTCCTGGCCCTCCTACAAACCGTCCTTCGCACCGGCAACTTTTCCAGGAGCCTCATTATTGAACCTCCCCGCGACTACATAAGGGCCTTGCAGCGGGGGGACCGGTATGCTGAGGCCGAGGAGGTGGAGAAGTATCACCAACATTCGGACCAGCAGCCCCCGAGGGCTGACAACAAGCATAACCGAGGGCCGGGGGCTCCTCCAAATCGCCCCAAGACTTCGGGACCCTCTGATGACCGCCCTCGGCAAGGACAAGCCAAGCCCGGGGGAGGTTATAAGAGCAACCCTAAGACTTGGGCCCAGCCCATCCTCCTGGACCGCCCTCGGACACCATTGACGCACCCCGTCAGCATCATCCTCGATTTTGCCGAGGAGAGGGGCCTCGTTGAGCGCGACTCTCGCGCACCCCCGGAGGTACACGCTATCAACCCTCAGTTCCCCTACTGTCGCTTCCATCGGCACCAGGGGCACAGGACCGATGACTGCCATCAGCTGAAGACGGCCATCGAGAGATTAATACAGGCGGGGCACCTGTCCCAATTTGTCCAGAGCCCTCGGCAGGAGGGACCTTCTCATCAGGGGCCTCCCCGAGGGCATCACACGAAGGTAAACGCTTGGGTAAACCCGAATACCATCCCCCTCGGCAAGAAGAGGGAGATCGGAAACTTGGAAGAAGAGGAGGAGGAATTCCCCCACTACCAGGAGAAGAAACGCCACATCCTCATGATCACCGGTGGCAACACAGGGGGTGATTCCACCAGCCAGCGAAAGAAGTGGGCTCAATCGCTTTATGTAGGGGAAGTCACTCATATGCCCCCGGTAAAGCGATTGAGGGAGGAACCCATCACCTTCACCAACGCAGATCTCCCTCCTACTGCCTCTCCTCACAGGGATGCCTTGGTAATTCGAACGGAGATCAACGACACCATTATTCACCGAACTTACATTGACACGGGCAGCTCCGTCAATGTAATGTACCTCAGCACCTTCAGAGAGCTGCATCTAGAGAGGGGGTCCCTTCGGCCCATTAAGACCCCTCTTGCCGGCTTCACCGGCGATACTATTGATTCCGAGGGGGTAATAACCCTCCCGGTGATCTTCGGCGACGGGCTCCATAGAGCCCAGCTCGAAGTGGAGTTCGTCGTCGTCAACATTGACTGCGCTCACAACATCATCCTCGGCCGGCCAGCCCTTGAGGACCTCGAAGCTATCATCTCCATGAGGCATCTCTGCCTCAAGTTTCCCGCCGAGGGGGGCATTGGCTACTGCCGGGGGAACCAAAAAATCGCCCGCGTCTGCTATCTTCAGGTCACTAAAAAGGTAAGCAAGACGGAATTCCGTGTTGACACCATCACCGGAGCCGTCGACCAGGAGGACAGAAGGCCGAGGGCTGAACCGGCCGAGGACGTAGAAGACTTTGCGCTCGATCCGGCCCAGCCGGAGAGAGTCGTGAAGATTGGAGCCCAGCTCCCTGAAGATCTAAAGACCGGTATCACCGACGCCCTCCGCGCCTACTCCACTGTCTTTGCATGGGGGCCGGAGGACATGCCGGGAATCAGCCGAAGGGTCATCACCCACCGCCTCTCGGTGGACCCTTCGGCAAAAGCAGTACAACAACGAAGAAGACCCCTCTCCGCCGAGAGGAGGGAATTTGTGAAGAAGGAGGTCGCCATGCTCCTCTCTATTAAGCACATCAAGGAGGTAAAATACCCCTCATGGCTAGCAAATGTAGTCCTCGCACAGAAGCCCCCTACCTTCCGCATGTGCGTGGACTACACCGATCTCAACAAAGCATGCCCTATGGATCCATTCCCTCTACCAAACATTGATCAATTGGTGGATGAGACCGCAGGGTGTGAGATCATGTCCTTCCTCGATGCCTTCCGAGGGTACCATCAAATATTCATGCACGAGGAGGACGCCGAAAAAACTGCCTTCATGACTCCCGAGGGCATCTTCTGCTACCTAGTGATGGCCTTCGGCCTAAAGAACTCGGGGGCCACTTACACCCGGATGGTGGCCCGGGTCTTTCAAGCCGTCCTAGGGCGCACCATGGAGGCCTATGTCGACGACATGATCGTCAAGAGCAAGCAATCTTCCAGCCATGCTGACGACCTCCGGGAAATCTTCGCCATCATGCAAAAATTCAACCTTCGGCTAAACCCGAAGAAGTGCACCTTCGGCGTCCAAGGGGGCAAATTCTTAGGCTACATGGTGAGCCGACGGGGTATTGAGGCCAATCCCGAGAAGATCCAGGCCATCATCAACATGGAGCCCCCACGCAACGTGAAGGAAGTTCAACGGTTGACGGGCCGCCTGGCAGCCCTCAACCGCTTCCTATCTAAATCGGCAGAGAAGTCTC